ATGCTCATTGGACCATTTATTCTCCCAAATCGATTGGACGGGATGCAATACCTAGACTTTTTACGCAACATTTTGCCTTCCTTGTTAGAAGATGTGCCATTAAGTGTAAGACAATCAATGTGGTTTCTGCACGATGGTGCATTTTAGACTCGAAGTGCGTGAGTTTTTGAATGAATTGTTTCCGAATAGGTGGATCGGACGTAATGGACCCATAGCGTGGCCTCCGCGATCTCCAGACTTAACACCATGTGATTTTTTTCTTTGGGGAGAAATGAAACGCTTAGTGTACCAAACTGAAGTGCATACGGTTGACGAACTTCGTCTCAGAATTGAACAAGCTGGTGCTTTCATTCGGGGGAGGGACTCCATTCTCAAAGCCTGCACCGATGCTTGGCTACGACGTGCACGCACCTGTGTTTTTGAATCAAACGGCGATAACTTCGAACAATACCTATAAAGTACGTTTACCTAAAAACTGAAAACGCGGCAACGCCGTCATATTTGTTACCTCTGTTCGTGGTCTGCACCACCGCCGGCGTCTGCTCGGTAGCGCATCAGCTGATTTCATTTTCTGTTGGAGCGGTATGATTTCGGGCAGAGACGTACTTAGCCCTTCTCGTCAACTGGAGAGTGAGTACTTTTTCCTTCATTTTTTTTTACTTGGTCGCCCTCGTTTCACTACACATTACCTTTGTTATTTTAAGGGTAATTGTTTCTGAAAAGGAAAACCCCAACTTTGCGGACAACCTGTATATATATAAAATTCGAGTAACTTTTTTCGTTTTTACTTTCCATGCCTAATGGCGATGAGGTATTGTAATCGTGAAAAAGAAAAATCGAAAATGAAATGTTATATTTTTTGGACGTTATTAAATATCAAGATTGCGAAAAACCATGCCACTCATTTCCATCGGTCTGTTTGACGGTCTATCTGTCGGTTTGTTTGTAGGTCTGTCTGTCCGCTAATCCGTGTGGCCCTTCTATAACTTGGAAAGTGTGGCAGGAGTATTATGTAGAATACCTAAAAAAACGTCAAAAAAGATCGACAAAATGTCATCTTGCAGACTAGGTAGTTTTTAGAGTGTTCATTCCATGTTTACTCGCTGTTATCTCTGCTGACTAGTTTGTAGAAAAACCTACGAAATGGCAAAAAGATACGAAATGTCAAAAATAAAACGATGAAACGTCACTTTTCGAGAGAAGTACGTAATACCCGTGCCGGTCGAATTTTGCTAAAATTTTCACACACATTATTATGTCAAGAACAAAAAAGTTATGTGGTTTTTGAAAGTCGGTTCAGTTGCAGCGGAGCTATGCACAGAAAATGAAAAAAATAGAGATGGCTAACCTCTACATACGAACATAGAATCCTGTCTGCGCCTGATAGTTGATAGTTCGGGCATCTCTGACAAGGCTGACTTCTAGCATTATCGAATAGGGTGGGGAAATTGTACATATGTGCCTGTTTGGCAATGAGCATTGTTAAAAATACTAAAAAGGTTACGAAATATTTGTGTCTACAATGTCTGTTTTATTAATGTGTTTTTCATTTCAATTTATTCATTTTATTTGGTCATTATGAACGAGTAACAATGGCTTCCTTGTACGTCTTTGCCAGATTTTACTCAGAGCTGGTGCATTAGCTATCCCAAATTGTTGAAGAAGGTGAGGATACTAACCAGCTGAGCTTTTTCCTTACATCAGCCTTTTACCATATGAATAGCTCATTTACTCCAAGCCACAACAAACATGAGCACACGATTACCACTGCTGTTCGCTTGTCCCTGCCTGTCCAGGCATTTATGAAGAGCTGGCCAATAGGAACGAGCGAATTTAAAGGTCTTGCGCGGATGTCCAATTTTTATATTACAGAGATCATTATCCCACATATCTTTGAAGATTTTGAGGGTGTGTCCGATATGCAGAATACAGAGGGGGCTCATAATTGATATTTTAGCAGTCTGTCAGTCGATGATACGTGAGATCTACTCATATCAAGAAATTTCGGTAAAGGCAAAATGAAAATAAATCTTCAGTGCACTTTGTTTGTAAATAAATGATTCACTGAGGGACACCGAATGATAGTTTTCCTTAAAGCGGTATGTTAAACAAAGAAAAGTAAACAAAAACATATTGAAAGATGGTCGCTATCACGTATTGTGTGACAAATTCAATTGGGTCATACATGTGACTGATAGTAGGTTATAAACTTGTAGGGGAAAGTTGAGTGATTCAAGATTCTGTGTCTAATAATGCCGTTAGTTTGTTAACCCTTTGCGGACAGCTTTATCTCTTCATTGTAGATTCGTCCATTGAATTATGGAAAGTATATAAATGACCCTTCACACGTCATAGGATTATTATGCTATTAGCTATCGAAAATAATACTTGGTATAAATAGCAAATCTGGCTTGACGATGCCAGCTAATGGAATGATCCAATCTGTACCTTGATTCCCTATTCCTCGATTTGTCAAATCACACAAATCAGACACGATTCTGGCAGGAAAAACCATTGACTAACGTATTCTCGTTAGGCAACACCTATCCGAACCTGCCCTATGATTCTCTAGCTGTGTAATGCTTAGCGTAGCGTACATGCATAAATATTTGTATGGTTGTTATCCTGGAGGGTATGTTCTTTGCAGAATCCTAGCGAGCTCTTATGAAATATCATATTTTTTTTATCAATGGTACTGGGATATAACGTACAGGTATCAGCCAGAAACAAGTTATAAGTAATAAAAATAATATGTCCGAAACGTTTTCGTAGAGAAAGCATGACAAGAAAAACTAATCTAGTAGGGAAGATGAATAGGAAATTTGAGGTATTAGACAGGGTCACACATTCTTCTCGCCCAAAAGCCGCGGTATGAAATATCATTATATGACAAAAATTAATTATGTCGTTATTGTTGAACTCTACATTTATTACAACCAATATGAAAATTAATTATGACATTTATCCTAGATTGAAACTAGTGAGTAGTAAAAACCATCTTTGTTGTGACTGAGAAGGACATATTTGCTTTCCGTCTCTGTAACCGCGACCAACCGCAAACAGCGATGTTTCGTACCCATTAGCAACTCATCAGTGCGGTACAGGTCTAGTCTTGGAGACAGACAAACGAAGAGCAAACAAATGGGCATGATATTTTGAAAAATAAAAATATTGTGCGCAAGTACGCGACGAACGCCATCTACCAGTGGTTTGCTGTGCTGATTTTCAGCCTCATCCAATAGAATGGAGATGACAGAGGACCCTTACGCCTTCTGGCTCATAGCTGTTCGACGTTCTGTGCTTTGTACAGAAGATGTCGCAACACCAATTGTGAACACTATTGCGACCTCTTGACGGGTCGACCGTGAATTGGTAGTGCGACATCATCAAAGTCCCATGTCGCAACTTAAATATTTCAATAAAGTGCGTGTGTCTATACCTGCGTTTTCCACCAACAATTTTTTGGATTTGAATTTTATGTACATTCATTAGTTTTCATCAGAATTATCATAATTATAGTTGAACTCGGCTGTATGTGCCAAACTTATTTCATATCGACAACATAAAGACAAACACCGTTTGACTGTTTAAAATAAAATTTATTACTGCTACAATAATTTATAATACGTGCAACTAGTTTATAACAGATTGATAACTATGTCCACTGAAATATTATTCCTTCTTAATTCCACACTCACTGGCCTCTGGCTCGACTGAATCTTGACTGTGTCTAACTGCTTCCGCCATCTGGTTGGATATTTATCCACGTATCGAAGCGTCGAGAAATATTCTAGCGTTTTCGAGGACTTTCATGGAAGTGGACTAGATGACAGCAGGTGCTTCCAGACGGGTAGAAGGCATTTACGCTCCATACACAGTCGCGTAACTTTGGTTGCCTAAGCGTCGACTTTGTCAAGCGACTTCTCGCCACTCAAGGCGCCAGCTAAAAACATGAAGATAAAAGAGTCAGCTTACTGTGAGATGTTGTTATGCTACTATTTTTTGACATTGGCATAGTTAATTAGTTTTGTTTATCTATTTAGCTTATTCCATGATCACAAAGTAAAATGACTCAAATGGTCAGTTTGACTTGATTGTACGGTATAATTTTGAAAGTGTTTCACGCAATTAGGCACTTTCTAAGCATGTGACTGTGCAGCTGTTCTGGTACTCATATCTCAAATAGGATGCTTCATCGTATATATCTTCTTCAAAAGGACCAATAAGTATTGCAACGTTTTTATTACCAAACCCTTGAATGTGTCAGAATAAGTGATGATTTAAGGAATTACCGTCTTTTTCAGTACACTTTGAGCTATACAATTTTTTCGGTGCCGCTTTCAATATAGTTATAGTAATGTGAACTGTTCCTCTGGTTTAACCGTGTTCGTATCACCTTCCATTATTAGGAGTTTTGCATTACTTTTATTCCTAATCAAATCATTATTTTTGTACTTAGTTATAACACAACTCATTAAAGCTGAGGTTACAATTTACAAGAAACAGGACCAAAGGCACGAAATACTGTTGTTTATAACTTTATTCTTATAACGCACCCAAATTTTTGATTAAACATTCGCCATCGCCTGTGAAAATAGGCTTAAGGTTCAGCAAAAAAATTGACCTTACAAAGGTTTTGGATCAGTTGTGGTACGCCTTTGCAGGTTTGCCAACCAGCAAGGCGGGATTTCGCATTATTATACTTTATAGAGTTTAAAAACTGGAGCTTATAACAGCTGCGGTGCTTAGGTACTTAAGCTTCGCCTATACATCTTTTTTATATAAAAAAGTCTGAAGATATGAATATATCGCAGCTCGCCCCCAGCAAATCAGAACATAGGATTATGCATGTAATTGCCGAGGTTGCGAAATATGAAACAAAATGACCACTTCTAATAACTGACCTTCGACAGTTCCCAGACTGATCGTGAGACACAATGAAAATTGAAACTGGCAAGTGATAATAGGTAACAGTATAGTGATAGTGGTCACCTGGTCACATGGTCACCCTTCCAAACCGCGGCTGCAGTCGCGGCTGCTGCGGTGCTTTTTGGTAATCTCGCAGATCATTTTCTTCATAAGCGAAACGCGGATATAACTTGCGCTACACCTTGTGTTCAGTTTGCCTGGTGTGTCGGTAAGTGAGCTTTTTTCTTTTTTGGTGTTTTGTTTTTGCTGGCTCGATTAAACTCAATATCGGATTATCTAAATAAGGCGAAAATAGATTTTAAAATATAACCATATAAAACGTCTGCCTTCCGTCACTTTTAAATGAGTGATAGGTAAACAGGCGGTTATGTTCTTCCAGTGCATATTCAATGTGACGAAAAAACTGGCGACTGCGACGGTCAATTTTTGTCTAAATTGTAGTTATATTATTGGAAGACAATAGAAACATAAAAAGGTCATAGACATTTTGAGTATTTTGTAACTGGTTGTGAGCTAGTACTTGAAACAAAATGAAGTGCAAAATGTTTCTGGCAGTCATGTAAAATGTTACTGGTAACTTAAACCTCCAGCGGGCGCGCTATCGGCACTTAATGCCGCCTTTCCACTATATTAATACAGTGGACGAGTAATCCGACAAACATTATGCAGATCAGTGTCGGACTATCGAATTTGTCGGATTATAGAGCACTGCCTAAGACCCTTATAGTCTGGAATTTTTTACAATAGAGTACCTTGTAATCCGACAAATTACATATTCAATGGTAAGATTATGTATACATAGATATATGTTATGTATATGTATGTACTTTCAAGTACAAATCATACATAGTTTATGTATGCCGAATTTAATAAATTAAATAACAATAGAGCTTACGCTTTATTATAAAATTAAGCATAAATGCACATACATATGTACCAAAATAACCAAGAATTATTAATCAAAATCATTAATGGATTTATCAAATTATGAAGCTTGGAAATATTCATCAATTTTTTTTTGTTTAAGGTTGTTATAACGCGAGATCAGAGCTTTGTCCCTCAGTCTTCTCAAAAGTAAAAGTTCGTTGTAGGATGTACCATTCTCTTCAGTCCATTGTAAACCCAGCTCAAAGGCGTTAATTGCGTCTTGTGCTGTGACTTGTGGAACAGTTGCAATCACGTCGTCGTTATTTTCCTGATTGTTTGTTGTATAATTAGAAACCTCTTTTATAATCTCTTCGTCAGACATTTCATGAAAAACATTTTCCTCCTTATCCATTCCACGGCACCAGATTTCCAAATCTTCCGGACTTATCTGTGTTTCAGTAGCGACTTGTTCTATAACTTCCGAAGTAACACTGATTTGTGGAACGTTGCTAGGAGTGGCTATATCTGGCCATAACTTTTTCCAAGACGATTTAATAGTTGATGACGGTAACGCATTCCACGACTGACAAAGAGCAAAAACCAAGTCTTTCATATTAAATTCTTTTAAAGTTTTTTCTATTGGTTGGTCTTTTGATACGGCTCTCAGAAGTAGGTTTTTCTTATAGTCTTGATTGACAACCTGAATGATATTCTGGTCTATTGGTTGAATCAGGGCAGTGCGTAAGTAACATCGCAGTGATGCATTTATCCTCAGTTGTTAATTCTTCTTCAGACGGATCCCCGGGAGCGTTATCAAGAAGCAACAACGCTTTTTGAGGAAAATTATGATCTTTTAACCATTTTCTAACTTCAGGTACGAAGCATTCATCAAACCACTTTCTGAAAAGGTCTTTTGTTATCCATGCACTTTTTTGTCCGTAATAGTGTACAGGTAAATTAATGTTTTTGAATGCCCGTGGTTTATTAGATTTCCCAATGACCATCATCTTAAGCGCGCGTGTGCCCGCAGCGTTAGCACATGGTAGTATGGTTATACGCTCTTTACTTACTTTTCGTCCAGGTACGAATTTTTCGTTACTAGAAACGAAAGTTTTGTTAGGCATCATACGCCAAAAAAGCCCTCATTCGTATGCATTGTACACCTGTGACGGGTCAAGATTTAAATCGTTCACCTTTTGCAAAAATCTTAATTTAAAGGACTCTATGCAGGTGGCATCGTTAGAAAGTTTCTCTCCTGTAATAGTCATTAAACGTATGCCATGACGACTTTTAAAATGTTCTAGCCATCCTTTGCTGGCCACAAAATCATCTTTTTTTGTTATTTCCTTATAAAAAAACTTAGCTTTCATGGCCAACATGGGTCCTGAAATTGGTGCATGCCTATTTCTTTCCTGAAGAAACCACATGTACAAAGCTTCTTCCACTTCTGGATGTTCAGCTTTCTTGAGTGTCTGTCTCTTGCCTGGCCCGCAGTCAGTAGTTGACACGAACTTCTTGATCTTCTCGTGGTTTCTTTTAATGTCATAAATTGTAGATCGGCCATTTTTGTTTAATTGTTCATGTTTTGTGCTTTCGCTTCTGAGTTTGTGATGACATTACTAGGTACTATACTTAATACACAATGAATAAATAGTAAACAATGAACGCACGCTAGGCCGTACCGCTATCACCAGTAGTCAAATTCAAACTAAGTAAAACAATGCTTACGCGTTGAGCACGATAGCGGTGGTGCGTCCAAGTTGTAACCTGTTCAAACCTGCGTGATCTACATTAGCGAAGATTGTCAAATACGTATGTATGTAACATATTTAAAGACATGTCGGATTACAGGGGGCGCCGGATTAGACAGGGGCCGGATTATCGGGGGTCCACTGTATATAAAAAACAAAAAAGAAATTCCACTGGATTTTCTACCAAATAAGCAAAAAGAATAATGCGGTAATCTTATTGTCAACAATGCAAGATGCAGGTGAAATTGATGAGACCACTAAAAAGCCACCGATCATGTGAACAACATGTGGCGTTGATACCGTAGACCAGAAATGTGCATCTTACACAACACAAAGAATTACTAAAAGATATGGCCCCTTACAATTTTTTTCGAACGCTTGACATTGCTGGAATAAATTCTGAAATTATCTACAATAATACTAAGCCTTTAGCTGATCCTCGAAGAAGACGTTTTTTTCTAACCGAATTAGCTTTTGAGCTGTTTGCGGATCATCTAAAAGATCGAGCTAAAACTGCAGCGCTTCCCAAGGATATAACAGCATTTCTTTAAACGTACAGTGCTTGAGACTGAGGTAGCAGTTACCAGAAATTCCAATGGACGGTGCCATATTTGCAGCTCTAAAAAGAACAACAGAACCACAGTTACTTGTAATTTATGTTAACATTTTGTATGCAAGGGACACAGTATTAAGACTGTTACCTGTCAAAATTGTATGCTTACTGAAGTAGAATATAAAGAAGATTAGGAAGAAATAATACAATTTTTTTTGATTTTGTTAGAAACTTGTTTTGTTAGAATTGACTTTTATTTACGTGTTATGTTCGAAATATTTTGAGATTTTTAAAAGCGCGCCTTCCGGAGGGTTAACACAAATCTTTGTGCTCAAGAGCTGAAGTTTGAACTTGATTGCAAATACATTATTTGTATGTCACATAGAGACACAATGTCTATATGGCATCCTTAATGCACCTATATTGCTTTGTGTGCATATACCACGTTTTGAGAAGATGCGAAAATTAGTATATACAGGATGTTCATTTGAAAACTTCCCACCACGGATTTATCGAAAACCACTGATTAAAAGAAAAAAATCACGTTAGCAGATTTTTGAAGGGAACTAAAAATAATCGCCCCCCTTTCACCCTCAGTCACCCAGGGCCATTCCCTTAAAGGTTTTAAATAACAAAGGGAATCTGGTAAAAGCTTGTTTGAAAGGCATTTCGAAGTCCTTTATTTTGACGTCTGACTTTTTGAAATCAGACTATCAGACTATTCGTTTTCGAGAAAATTAGATAAATCAAAATTGTTGATGCGACTGGTATTCCTTTAGGCTCTGTATACAGTTACTAAACACCATACATTGCATCCATTCAAAATGAAAATATTGCAAGAGTTAACCGAAGATGATTTCGATATGCAAGTGAACAAATGACTGCAGCGATTAATGATAATACCATTCATGTAAAGAATACAGTGATGAATGCACATTTTATCTAAATGGATTTGTTAATAAGCATAGCTGCAAGGATTTGAGCAATGAAAATCATCACGTTTTTGTAGAAGGGCATTTATTTGGATATGTTGGAGAATAACATAAATCCGCTTATCACTGAAACCATTGAAAACCAAATCGAAGACGATGGAAACCCTATAGTTGGTGAAGCTGAAATATATTTCCAGCAAGACGGCGCTCCACCTCACTATGTTCTTCCGGTTCGGCAATGGCTAGACGACGAGTTTCCAGATAAATGGATAGGGCGAAAAGGGCCTATAGAATGGCCAGCTAAATCTTCTGATTTGACGCCATTAGACTTTTTTCTGGAAACAAAAAAATGGTACGCCAAAAGTTTTTTGCCAAATAAAAATTTATTTTGAATTCCCCGTTCAATTTAAAACAAATTGTCTCTCTTGAATTGTTTTCGTTCGATGCGCTATTTTTGAGTAAAAAATGAAAACCGTTCTATTGTTCGGGAAAATTAATGTAATAATTGAAGAATGCAATTTAGCAATAAATATCTAGTTGCTCTGGAATATGTGATTGGTTTTTGATATCTGACAAGTCTCTGTTATTCCAATCTGTTCGCTATGACATCTTTTTCATTATTGGTGAGCAAGCCAGACGGATTCATCACCAGAGATATCCCGATCGTGCTTTGCCAGATAGTTGAACCTTTTCTAATATTCATCGTCGTCTTGTTGACACTGGTTCTGCCCGAAAAGGAACATCTGAAGGTAGACCTCTAAGTGTGAGAACACCTGAAATTGAGGAAGCAGTGCCGCACGAAGTCGGAGAACATCCTAAAACGAGTACGAGGAAGATCGCTAGACACTTAAATATTTGCCATCAAATTGTTTGGAGAATTTTAGTGGATTTTTTGTTATATCCTTACCATATTTTAAGAGTACATGCATTCCTTCCCATTAATTTTCCAAGGCGTGTGACCTTTTGTCAGTGGTATCTTCAAAAAGTGACACAAAATCCGCAATTTGCCATTCAGAATTTCCACAATAATAATTTGTGGGCAGAAGAAGATCCCTATGCAGTAACCGAAACCCATTTACAGTAGAATACCGACGTAAATAA